TTCCCTTCTACAGTTCACTTTAGTTTCTTCCATTTCATCATCCTCACCACTTTTAGCATCAAAGTTGCTGTCTGCATCTGGGTTTTCCTCTACTTTCACATCAGTTTGGAGAACGCATTTCTCGTGTGGTACTCTGTTCTCTGAACCTACTTCATCGGAGTAACCCCTTGATTTCTCTTCCTTTATTCCAGACCTTGCTTCATGGAAATTGCATTTAGGTACTTCCTCTTCACCAACTGCTTGATTTAATAGGTGCCTATAAAATCTACTGAGATCTTTCTGCTTCGTTACACCCAAACATGCTTCCAGAGCAGCAGCCCTCTTTTCTCTTTCTTCCTCCTCAGCTCTTTCTTGCAGTTTTTTTCTTATAAGCAAATGTCACAAATGCCTCTTTATCATCAAATTCTCCCTTTTCCATTTCTCATTCTCTCTTTATTTTCTTTTCCATTCTTTTTTCCTGTTCCTTTTTTCTAATTTCAACTGATTTTAGTAAGTTGTGAATGTACTTGGGCTTTCGATCTTTCCCTCAAAGCCATTTAGGATTAATTTCTTCCTTTTTTTTCTGCATTTCATCATCAATACTGTCATATTCATACACAGTGGAATCTTCAGCAAGGGCCTTCTGGATTTCCAGTTTGGTCTGTTTCATGGTCTGTTTCTTAGCAGCTTCCCTCTGAAGACTTTCATTCATGGAGGTCTCATCATCATCATCAGAATCATTCACAAACACTGATGGTTTTTGCAAAACAGGGTGCAACTCCTACGTTCTCTTTGGCAACATAAGCCCATTTGCCTGCCCAGAATCGCCATCTTGCTCCCCTGTCTGCTGAATGTGGCCAAAGCCAGTTCAACATATTTAAATCAATAACATTTACTACATAAACAGAAGCTAAAACGAACACTATATGATGATTTCATAGATTTAGAAAAAACATTTGATAAAATCCAGCAACTTTCCATGATAAATGCTTTCAGCAACCTAGGCATATAAAGAATATGATTCAAAATTATAAAATCCACATATGACAGGCCCACAGCCAAAATCATATAAATGAGAAAAGTTGAAATCATTCCCCCTAAGAATTGCAACAAGGCAAGAAAGGGTTCCCTCTGTCACTATTTCAATTCAACACAATACCCTAAGTCCCAGCCAGAGCAATCAGCCAAGAGAAAGAAATAAAGGGTACTCACATTGAGAAAAGGGAGTCAAACTATCCCTGTATGCTAAAGATATGATATTTCAAGTAGAAAACTCTTGAAAGACTCATGGAATTAACACAAATCAGGAGCATTTCTACATACTGATAATAGTCAAGCTGAAGGCTAATTAAGTACTCAGTGTGTTCTCAATAGCTACAAAAAAGATAAAATACCTAGGAATGTACTTTACCAAGGGGCTGAACGATCTCTACAAGGTGAACTACAAAACACTGAATAAACAAATCCTAGATGAAACAAAGAAATGCAAAAACACCTGTTGCTCATGGACTGTCAGAATCAAGATTGTTAAAATGTTCATACTGCCCAAAGTGATTTACACACTCAGTGGAATCCCCATCAAAATACCAATGTCATATTTCACAGACCTATAAAACATAATCCTAAACTTCATTTAAAAACAGCTTGGATAGCCAAAGCAATCTTAAGGAAAAAGGTTAGATCTGGAGGCATCACATTACCTGACTTCACATTATACTGCAAGGCCCTAGTAACCAAAACAGCATGGGATTGATATAAAAGTAGAGACAATGAAGAATGAAACACACTACACAACCCAGAATAAAACATATAGCTATGACCAACTGATAATCATGAAGTACACAACACAATACACTGAGGAAATGATGCCTTATTCAAGAAATGGTGGTGGGAAAACTGGATAGCCACGTGTGGAAAAATGAAACAGGACCCCTACCTTTTGCCACATAGAAAAGTTAATTCAAGATGGATAAAACACTTAAGTGAAAGACAGGAAATCTTAAAACTTAGAAAACATAGGGAAACCTCTTGTAGACATTGACCGAGGCAATGAATTTCAGACTAAGACCTCAAATCATGGACAGCTACAACAAAAATAAATAAATGGGAATTAATTAAATTAAAAAGTTTCTGCCTAGAAAAGGTAACAATCAACAGAGTTAATAGACAAACTACAGAATGGGAGAAACTATTTACCAACTATACATCAGACAGAGGACTAATATCTAGAATCTACAAAGAATTCAAACAAATCAGCAAGACAAAAACCAACAAACCCATAAAATTGTGGGCAAAAGACATGAACAGAGGTTTCTCAAAAGAAGGTAAACAAATAGCCAAGAAACATCTAAAAAAAAAAAAATGTTTACCACCACTAATTCTCAGGGAAATACAAATTAGAACTACTTGGAGCTACCACCTTACCCCAGACAGAACAGCCATTATTAAAAAGCAAAAGGCAAAAAAACAAATGAGTCTGGCATGCTTCTGGAGAGAACAGGATGCTTATAAATAGTTGGTGGGACTGCAAATTAGTGTAACTTCTGTGGGAAGCAGTATGGGGATTTATCAAGGAAATAAATGTAAAAGAAAAAGTCACTTTATAAAAAGACAGCAGCACTTGAATGTTTATTGTAGCACAATTTAAAATTACAAAGATGTGGAATCCACCTCAATGTCCATCAATTTATCAGTAGATAAATAAAATATGGGGTGTGTATAGAGCATGGAGTATTACTCAGCCCTAAATAAATGAAATAAGGTCTTTTACACCAAGTTAGATGGAACTGGAAACGATTATCTGAAGTGAAGTAGTTCAGAAATAACAAAACAAACACCACATGTTCTCATTAATAAGTTGAAGCTAACCGATGGTACACACAGGTAGGTATAGGGAGATACGAAGGTCATCAGAAACAAAGAAGGGGGAGTGGTGAGGGAGTGAGAAACAAATACACACCTATTGGGTACAATGAACATTATTCAGGTTATAAGCACAACAAAAGGCCTGACCTAACCATGACACAGAAGATATCCATATAACAAAACTTTTGTACCCCTTCGATATTATGAAATTTAAAAAGGTAAGCAAAAGTAAAATGAAAACATAAAAACATATACTATGCAAAATAACCAGGAATAAAACTGCTATGGTTAATTTAATGTCATTATATAACACAATAATCATTATTGGAAATGTAATTTAATAATTATTGACTTATTTTTCCAACTATTAGTTTTAAACTTTTAGAATATATATGTACCTAATAATCCCATTTCAACATAGAATTTAAAGGACTGAATGAATAAACATGTAATATACAATTTTGTCTCAATGCTTATTACATAGGTACATTGGCAACCCTATAGAAAGATTTAAACTAGACAATTAACCGTTACAAACATGCACATGCGCATACTCACATATATACACTAACACAGAGTATTCATATTTTTAAATTCTCATGGGAATACTCCCAGATATACTATAATCTCAAGTAGTAGCTTGGCCGGTGACACTTAAAATGCAGCTATTAGTATTATAATAACAATTAATTAAAAATAAATAATATTTAAAATCAGTTCCTCCATCATACCAGCCACATTTTAACAGACATGTAGAACATTTTCAGCTTCACACAAAATACTATAACTACAATTATCCTATATAGAAGTAAATAACACAAATTTTGAAAATCTACATAATTTTTAATTTTGTCATATATTGCTAAAGAAAGTATGAGCCAAAGAAATAACCACAATGGATAGTTACAATTTTTATAGGAATTATGACTAAAATAGAACAGATGTCTTTCTTGTGAAAAATAGGTTGCCTTAAATGCATATGTTGCAAAAAATGAAATCAGAAATGGAATTATCTGTGAATGCATCAAAACAAAATAAAAAGAAAAAAGGCGAAATTAAATTAAATTAAATATAAGTGAAGTAGAAGAAAGAAAAAAACAAATAGTATAAAATCATGAGACACAATAAGCAGAGAGGATCAACAAAGCCAAATATATTTTTATTGAAAAAATAAAACTGATAAAAGACTATTTAAGAAAGAACCAGAGAAGGCACAACTTTATTTTTCTTTTTTTTCTTGTTAAATGTAACACTATCTTATGGTTTTAACAGATATCAAAAAGTATGAAACCATTTTATAAATACAATTTAATGTCCATGCTTCCCAGTGTAGACTTGATAGCACGAACTTTCAAGTACAAAGCAATCAGTAGAAACATAATAGAATCTCCTTGTGAACACGGATGATGAAAGAAATGTTACTCTAATGTAATATATTCACTGATTTACATTAAAGGGATAATATGGAATGACCAGTATGATTTTATCTCAGAAATCCAAAACTTGTTTAACATTTAAAAGAAATAAAAGTGATTTAGATTATAGACATTACATGGAGAAAATGTATAAGATTTCAATTGATGCAAAAGTATTAAAATGTAACCAGGGTTCCAAGCAAAACCTGTTAGAAAAATGGGAATATTATAAAACTCGTTGAATATTCTAAAGTTATGAGAAAATTAAAAAATATGAAATGATGAAACCTTCTCATCAAAAACAGGAAATAATACATATGATATACACAGAACCATTATTGTACTTTCTCTTCATCATTGAAAATAAAATTCTAGACAGTGAAAATAAATAAAGAAAAAATTTATGGCATCAGGAAAAAAAATAAAAGTGTGTTTATTAGAGGAAAAATAGTAGTTTATATAAAAAAATCCAGAAAATTCTATACCTAAAGTAGTAGAATTAATATATAAAATCAATGAAGTAACTTGATATGGGATCAACATACAAACTTCAATTCTATTTCTAATTACAGCAACAAAATAACTAAAGGAAATTTTTAAAATGAGGATGCTTTTCATAAAGACATAAATGTGAAATATCTGGATTTCGGTATGACTTCAATACCAATCAATACAAAATATGATAGAAACAAATTAAAGAAAACCTAATACATTGCTGTACATAGCATGATATTGATAGGAAAAGTTAACTTTATACAGAAGCCTAATATTTGAATATGACTTTAGAGAATAATGCAGTCCCAAACATAATTGCAGGAGAGATATTTCCAAATAAGTGCTATTGAGATGTCATGTAGATAACATAAATTTCATATATTTAAAGTGTATAAATCAGTTAATTTTAGTATATTCACAAAGTTACAACCAAAGTACTTCCAAAATTTGGAAAAGTTCATCACCCGAAAAAGAAAAAATGTAGCAATTAGTGGTAACTTCCTATTCCAACCTCCCCTTCGCCTTGACAACGACTATTCTCCTTTCAGTCTCTAAGGGTTCGCCCATTCTTGATATTTCATATAGACAGATTCACATAGCATGCAATATTTTGAACACATGAATGCCACAGATACAATGTTGAGCAAAAAAGAAAAAAAACAGTACAAAAACCAGACACAAAAGCAACGATATCCTGTACTTTCTGTTGTCTGCATTATTCTACAAATATTATTTTTGAATATCTTTTCATTACTAAACAAATTACGATTCATTGACTGATGCAATCATAATATTATTTCCATTTCACAAAATATAATATTACCTGGCTGGCTCCAAACTCAGGTGCTTTTCTTCTAAGGCTCGTGCTTACAAATATATGTTTTTGTAGATTCACATCCACCTGAGTGCAGACTGGGTGACTGTAGCACAGCACAGTTATGTCTACCAGATACTGTTTCCTCTATTCTGTGATGGAGAAAAATTCATACTTCTTTTATATTTTATGGGGACAATTCATGAAACAGTAGGATTTTTCATGTTTTTTAAGAAAAGGATTTTGTCATTTAATCACATTTTAACGTAATATTCATAAGAGTTGGTTGTTACAAAACTGAACACAGTTGAATGCCATACCCTCAAACTACAGAAAATAAAACCACCAATAAAAGGAAACAAGTGTCGTCAATTGTTTAATATTTACATCAGCATGTCACTAAATTTCTACATCTTTTTCATGTCTTTAATTCAATGTAAACTTACTCATATTATTCTCCTGAATTTCTTCTTTTTATATTTTTTTCTACTATATCCCACCACTCAAAACACTTACTTAAGTTTGAAAGTTGAACCATTTCTTGATATCCATGGTTGCTCACTGCTGTTACGAAAGACTCCAATCCATGCTTTCTTTGAAAGGGAGCTCAGAAATTTCTACAGAAATATAAATATTATATATTTAAATAATTATCAAATATTTAACATTTTTTAAAGTGCCAGTAGTGTGTTCTTACATTGGATCTATAACTATCAAAATAAAATTACTGTTTTAAGCAAGATTAAGTTGAAAATCTCTTTATAAAGTGCTAAGAATTTTCACAAAAGTCATAATTTTCACTTAAAATGAACTCTTAAATATTCATACTTAGTAGTGTCATTCTTCTTTTATTAATGAAAAAATTTAGTATCCATGTAATTTAAGAGTAACCAATATTGACAAAACTAGTATAAATGAATTTTAATAACTTTTGAGACACTGTAAATACATTTCTCCTGCTGATAATATTAAATCAATATACATTATTATTAAATATATATTTATTATATTTATATTTTATTATATTATCTCTATACATTATATATCATTTATATATAATAATATTTATATATATTTTATTATATTTTTACATGTTATGTTATTTATATATATTTATTATATATAATGTATATTAAATCAATATACATGTATATTTATACATTTCTGAGAGTTTGGTGTTTAGAAGGGAATTCAAAGGGCTGCCATTCAGGAGATAAATGATATAGAAGCCAAAATATCATTTTCTGGGCATCACACAATTATTTAACTAGCAAAGCCCACAGTTTGTCTGTTTTGGTACAGGATGAACACCACTGGTCTAAATCCGGTGCCTCTCCTTACTATATAGCACCATAAATTCTGGAACTTATGAAAAACACAAGCAAGTAGACTCTGAAAGTTGGAAAGAGAAAGGTGGAGTGGCTTAGGACTCCAGGATCAGGGATCAACACACTGGCTGGGAATCTTAAGTCCCCACCCAACAGAAGAAAGTGACCTAGGCCTGCTGTTCCCAGAACCCACACTGGCAACGAGAGATGCCTCAGGTGAGCTCCTTGCCCCTCTGCACTGAGAGGGAGTCCTGCCAGCAACACCAGCAAGGCTGGCACTATGGCAAGGGGGCTCTATCAGGAGACCTGCTAACAGTAAGTAGCCAGAGGAAGTGCTTCTGCTCCCCACCAAGACACACCAGGGTAGGTGTGGCTGAGGGGACCAGCAAAGGAGTCCTATGACTACAAGTGCTCCATCCAGGAAGCCTCTGTGTCCTTCAGGGCCTGAGACTCACAGTTCAGTGCATTAATACGAATGAACAAAGAGTGACATCAAAGTGCATCCTAATGACTCCATTTATAAAACTTCAAAAACACATAAAGTTTATTTATAATATTAACAGTCAGGACCGTGGTTTGAGGATCAGGGAGAGGAAGTGTTCAGGACATGAACATGTGCCGGCTGCTGGGATGGAAATGCCCATTTTGTGATCTGACTTGTATTACAGGAGTCCATTCACTTTGTGATCAATGTGCACAATCATGATGTGATAATATCTAGTATAATTAAATAGCAAAATTCAATTTAGAACAAAAACTTTTATAGAAGCATGGTTTTCCATAAATAGCAAGAATTGGTAATCATTAAATCAGCATTATCAGTGTATTAATTGAAATAAATTATTATATTATATAGTCCTTAAGATAATGAAATTAAAATATGTGCAATATAATGAATTCTACAAATATCATATTAAATGCAATAAGCTTCTAATAAAGTACTTGAAACATTTAACGCCTTACCATTTCTTCTTCATTGTCTATATAAAGCAGATTAGAGTTCTTAGAAGCACAGGCCTTCACACTGTCATCCCAAGTTTTTGTTTCCTTACTAATGTAATAACAATTGGTGGAATATGTGAGCCACTCCTCTGGACAACGACCACAATTACATGCTGTGGAAAAATTATGAGTTACTATCTAGACATGAATTTTTAAAGTGAAAATTAATTAACATTTTCAAAGGTATAGAAATATATGTACATATCTTTGCATCCTCGAAGGCTGGTAAATATAAAAAAATCCCACTCACACAATGAAAAGAGTTAGCCTCTCCTCGCCTAATTATATTGCCACATTAAACATAAATCCACCTTGCACATGTCTGAAAAATCACTTAACAAAATCACTTTTGTGGAACAGCAAAATTATTTTACTTTTATTATATGAAAGTAGTAGTAATTTGAGTCAAATAGCAAACAGTTATAATGATTTCACAAGATTGCTTCTTCCTGAAGAAAATGGAATGCCCTCCTAAACCATTATTCAGGAGTGTTTATTGCCTATATCCTAAATTATTTATCCCAGAAATATTGATTTTAATTTTTGCATAGCCAAAGATAGATATAAAATTAAAATGATTAATGTCAGTACCTTTCTGGGTTCTTGTAGTCTGGGAAAAATTATTCTGTTCCTGAGGTACTCTGGCTAGAAAAATGAAAGTAATCCTTATTAAAAATTAGAATCTCAGTAAGTCACACTAATTTTAGTTTTTGTTTGAAAATTGGTATATCACTTAGGATTAGAATTATCATGAGTAAAATTGATTTTATCAAGAAAACTTAATAAATTAGTGAAGGTTTTGGGAAAAATAACCTTCCAAAGCCTACAAAACTAAACTTCACCACTTCTTCCTACTTTATATCTTATAATACTATATTTGATTTTTCCACTTTCAGACATTAATTTCTATTTCTAGGTAAGCTTTTACAGTCTCCTAAAATATATCTTTGAGTTATCAAATTTGAACTTACATATAATTAAAAGCAAAGACTGTAATTATTGTTTCATTTATATTTCTGAAAAAATCAGAATAACTATTCCTCATTTAGTTTAATAATACTGTTAAAACCAGAAAACTATTCTCTAATATTATGAAATGTTTATAGGCACTTCTAATCATTAAGTGTAAAAGTTTCCTTTTATTCTTCCAAAATCTACTTACAGGAATTGACAAGACTTGTTACCACAGTGGACATTATTAAGACAAGACAGAGAATTCCCAGGATCCCAGCAATGAGCTTCTCTTGAGGTAACAGTAAATCTGCAGGGAGAGAAACAGAAACACTGAGAAAGGAGAGACAGAGATGGTTGGTTAGAATATTTTGATACACGAGACCCCACATACACAGGGAATCAAAGATAAACTTGGACCTCAAATCCACATCTACCACAGTAATCTTTCTCTCAGAATATACCATTGCATTTTTCAGTAAATGCAGTGCTCTGTGAGTTGTGGTACTAAAAGTACAAATTTCGACAATGTGTGAGTAAAATTCAGCTGCATATTTCATATTAAATACCATATCTCAACTTAGAACTCTGGTCTTCATGAATTAGCTATGGGAGCACATCCTGCTCTTTCCCCTCACCCCTGTCCCCAACTACACATCCTAGAACAGTTGCATTGTGGAGCTATTAAGTGCTGTACCTTTGTAGTGGTAAGATCTGTCAACCCTTTGAAGATCCTGAGCAGCATTTTGAAGGTTTAATTCAGCATAGGTTATTTCCTGGTCAGTTTCTGAAATGGAGCTCGTAGTGTCCTTAGATTTCTTTTGCTGCCTTTTTGGAGTTTTGGCCAGAAGCATTTCAGAGTAGATTACTGTTTGATTATCCATCTCTGCAACTGTGTGATGTCAGACTGTGCTCTATGATACCTGGACTTCAGAAGTTAATAAATGGTTTGTATAATGTCAAGATCCCTAGCGCAGTCAAAATGGATAAGGTGGAGAATGTGTATTTGTTCTCATTTTTCATTGAAGAATCTAAAGTTCTCTCTCTTATTTCCTTAGAGCTTAGACAAGTGTTTTAGGGTAAAATATTTTTAAAAGATTTTCTATATTTGTCTAAATATAATTGCTGGAATAATGAGAAGGAATAAAGCAATAATGAGCAAGCAATAAAAAAATCCATGAACAAAAATTTATTTATTAAAGTGTGATTCCACAGATATTTTTATAACCAATATAAACCTGTATCAAAAATTAAAATGTTGCATCAGAAAAATTTATGCTCTGATTTTTCATAATTTTAAAAGCAAATAATGGTTAAAGACTGAGTGATCTTAAAATAGAGAATAGGAAAATTGACATATATATTATTTCCATTCACTAAATGACTTTTATTTTGTAGTTTATACTTATTTATTAAAATGGATTCAGCATTATTAGTGGTCTTTTGTTTAAATGACTGAAGGCTTCTGAGAAAACATTAAACTATTTAAAATATTTTATCTGTCAGAAAATGTACATGACACAAATTTATGCATAACCTAAACAGTACTAGAAACACTACAAAAATTAATTATTTTTTATAGAAGTATTGGCAATTGATTCTATTGCTAAAATGTAAAACCAGGATCTTAAAAAATAAAAACATAAATTATCTATGGAAGAACATTTTTGTTTCAAACTTTCAGGAAGATATGATGTTTGTCAACATCAATAAAGATACTTTATTCACGTGGGTATGTGTAATAATTCATATAATGTAATATTTTAGTCAATGGGCTATGGAGGCAGTGAGATCTAAAATTAATTTTGGATTTGCAATTCATAATGTATGACCCTTAAAAAGGTACTTAGTATAAATATATACTGTATATATATTTAGTATAAATATAATGCATTTGAAACTTCTACTGCTCAAACTGACACCTAAAGTTCTTTCTAAATATTAGCTATTTTAATTATTATTTTATTCACAATTGCTATGTTGTTGTTTCTGATTCATGTCAGTTAAACCACTGAAAATAAATCATTAGACAAGTCTTTTATATCAGTGTGGTACATTTTTCTGCAATATTTGATAAATATTTTAAGTCTTTTGATTGTTTATAACTAAGTTATAAAATTTACGTTGCCCTGATTTTAGTTAAAAATGAAAGTATCTGAGGAATTATGTTTGGCTTTCATCAATAAAGTAATTTCTTTAATAATCTTTTATAATCACTGAGCTACACGTAAATTACGTAATTATTCAACAGTATATAATACAATGATTACTAATTCAAAATTAATTATTCATTGTCATGATGTTTAGTTATCTCAGTTGAATTATATTTGCTAACAAACCAGATAGATGTATATGCCCTTGACTAGGACTCCACAGGCAACAATTTGCAAACTTAGGAAATCCTACATCATATTTCATATTTTAGGTTTTTACCCCAAATTATTCAAATTAAGAAATCAATTTCTACTTCGATTTTCCTGCAGACTAATTGTATTTGGAATCTGCCAGTAAATGAGATAGGCTAGTAGAGAGACAAAAAGTAGCAACACATACCTTTTGTCCCCAAAAAGTTGGGTGTCCTTTAGTGCCGAGCCCAGGTTACTCTCATAAAAAGGCCTTAAGTAGCTGGAAAATAAAAGGTGAAATCAAAAGCCATAAATCCAGGACAAGAACAAACAATGTCTGTGATCTTCACAGAGTACCCTGTGAAGGCTGAGAGTGAGTCAGGAGTGGAAAAAGTAGATTTCTCATCACTGTGTCACTGAGGGTCTGAACAGGAAATTCTCAAACATGGGCTACTTTGAAATCTATTTATCTCATCACACACCTCCAAATATAGGAGACTTTGGGCTCCTATTGCAAGGACAAAGGAGAATTCTAAAAAGTGTCCTTTATTTTGTCTATTATAAGTGTCTGAGAAGCTGCTTTCATATTTTATGAGATATGAGAAAGAGATTTGATAATCCACGTAGTTAACTTTTTTCCAACTCAATCGCAAATATGACAACATAATTGTTAAGAGTGTCTTGGATATTTAAGACCCATGTTTAGACTACATAGCTAAATCTTAATATGACATACTTCTTTTTTTTGTATTCTTACCATGTCACCTATATTATGTTGGAAAAAATTCTAAAATTCATCCTACTAACATTATCAGCAGACATTTACTGATATTTGTCATTAATTATTCTGAAAAATCAATATAGTTTCATCTTTTTGTAGCTGGCCCAAAATCCATCATGCCAAACTTATCTTCTCAGTATTTCTGCCTTAATTCTTAAATCCATACATTTTAGTTTTATTTTTTTTGAGGAAATTTTTATTTGTTGAGGTGATGGTTTATGAATTCATTTATTAAACTCATGTATTAGCTATCATATTTGCATGGGATGAATTAATATGATTCACACTAAAATATCTGTAGGACTTGATCACCTATATCAAATCAGGGAGTGAGAAGGGAGTTGTTTGATAAAGAGGACCTCCATTCTCTTTTTTTTCCTTTTATTTTATCATACTATGGGGCTACAAATATTGTTAGGGTTACATATATTGCCCCTGCCATTCCTCTGCCCACTCCCCACCCCCCGCCTTACCAAAACATCAAGTGTGTCTTAACCCCAGGTGGTGCACATCACACCTATTTTGTAAGTATATATCCTTCCCCTCCTCCCCCCTCCCATCTGCCTACCATCAGGTAAAAGTTTTTTTTTTTTTTCCTTTTTTTGACCTTTGGGTTACATTGTATATCTTTGCCTTTCCCTACAAAGGATTAAAAGTATTCCCTCACCCTGCACAATGCTTGCCACAACCCTAAAATGTGTATCTCCCCCTCCCCCAAACCCTGGTGAGCACTACCACCATTTGAGCACCATAGTTTTAATCAGTCAGTACCAATTTGAAGGCGAGTAGATGTGAAGCCCATTTTCTTGATCTTGTGTCACCTCCCTTTGGATAATGGGCTTAAGCTTAATGCGGGATAGCATAAACGGTGCTAGCTCACTGTCATTTCTTAGAATTGAGTAGTATTCCATTGTGAGCATATGCCAAATTTTAATTATCTATTCATGAATTGACGGACACTTGAATTGTTTCCATGATCTTCCAATAGTGAATTGTGCTGCCATAAACATTCAGGTGCAAATGTCTTTATAGTAGAATGTCTTATGCTCCTTTAGGTAGATTCCCAGCAATGCTATTGCTGGGTCGAATGGCATTTCTATATCTAGCTGTTTGAGGTATCTCCAAATTCTTTTCCACAGAGGTTGCACTAATTTGCAGTCCCACCAGCAGTGTAAGAGTGTTCCTGTCTCTCCACATCCTCACCAGCATTTGTTGTTTTGGAATTTCTTGATACAAGCCATTCTCACTGGTGTTAGATGGTATCTCATTGTGGTTTTGATTTGCATTTCTCTGATGATTACAAATGTTGAGCATTTTTTATACGTTTGCAGGCCATTATTCTGTCTTCTTTTGAGAAGTTTCTGTTCATTTCCGTTGCCCATTTCTTGATGGGGTTGTTTGATTTTTTTCTTGTTTATTCTTTTAAGTTCTAGATAGATTCTTGTTATTAGAACTTTATCAGAAGTGTAGAGAGCAAATATTTTCTCCCATTCTGTGGGTTGTCTATTTGCTCTAATGATGGTTTCCTTAGCTGTGCAGAAACTTTTTAATTTCATGAGATCCCATTTGTTTATTTCTCATGCTGCAGTGATTACTTTGGGGCTCTTCCTCAAAAATTCTTTGCCTAGACCAATGTCTAAGAGGGTTTTCCCAACATCTTCTTCTAAGATTCTTAAAGTTTCATGCCTTAGGTTTAAGTCTGTTATCCATCTTCAGTGAATTTTTGTGAGAGGTGAGAGGTAGGGATCCTGTTTCAATCTTCTGCATGTAGCTAACCAGTTTTCCCAGCACCATTTATTGAAGAGGGATTCTTTTCCCCATTGTATATTTTTGTCTGATTTATCAAATATTAGGTTGCTCCATACTGATGGTTTTATCTCTAGTATCCCAGATCTATTCCAGATGTCCATGCTTCTGTTCTTGTGCCAGTCCCAGGTTGATTTAACTATTATTGCTTTATAGTAAAGCTGGAAGTCAGGAAGACTGATGCCTCCCAGTTTGTTCTTCTTACTTAAAATTGTTTTGGCTATATGAGGTTTCTTCTGGTTCCATACAAAGTGCAAAATTATTTTTTCTAGATCTGTAAAGTATGCTGGTGATATTTTGATGGGGATTGCATTAATTCTGTAGATAACTTTAGGTAATATTGACATTTTAACGATATTGATTCTACCAATCCATGAACAAGGTAGATTTTTCCATGTGTTCAAATCATCTGCAATTTCTTTTTTTAGTGTTTCCTAGTTCTCCTTGTATAAATCTTTCATATCTTTCATTAAGTATACTCCTAGATATTTAATTTTCCTTGGGGCTATAGTAAAGGGTATTGCATTTTTGATTTGAGTTTCTGCTTGATGGTTCTTGGCATATATGAATGCTTCTGATTTGTTTATACTGATTTTATAACCTGAAACTTTACCAAATTTATTTATTAAATCTAGGAGTCTCTTGGATGAATCCGTGGGGTTTTCTAGGTATAATATTATATCATTGGAGGAGAGCGAGAGTTTGATCTTGTCTACCCCCACTTGGATGCCCTTAATACCCTTCTCTTGTCTGATTGCTATAGCTAGGACTTCAAGTATGTTGAATAGAAGAGGAGGCAGTGGGCATCCTTGTCTAGTTCCAGTTCAAAGCGGGAATAATTTCAATTTTTCCCCATTTAGAATGATATTAGCAGTGGGTTTGTCATAAATGGATTTGAGAAGTTTAAGGTATGAACTGACTATGCCTATTTTGTTAAGAATTTTTATCATAAAGGTGTGTTGGACTTTATCAAATGCTTTTTCTATATCTATTGCCAGAATCATATGGTCTTTGTTCTTGATTTTATTTATGAAGTGAATTGCATTTATAGACTTGCGTATGTTGAACCAGCCTTGCATCCCTGGAATAAAGCCTGCCTGGTCATGGTGCATTATTATTTTGATGTGTTGCTGAATTCTATTTGCTAGAATTTTATTTAGGATTTTTGCATCTGTATTCATGAGGGATATTGGTCTGTAATTTTCTTTTTATGTTATGTCCTTTTCTGGTTTTGGTATCAAGATGATATTGGCTTTGTAGAATGAGTTAGGAAGGATACCATCTTTCTCAACAATGTTGGATAGTTTCTGTAGTATAGGTATGAGTTCATCTTTGTATGTTTGATAGAACTTTGAAGTGTAGCCATCAGGTCCGGGACTTTTCTGTTTGGGGAGGTTTTTAATTACTGCTTCAATTTCTGAGCTTGAGATTGGTCTATTCAGGAGATCTGTTACCTCCTGGGTAAATGTAGGGAGGTTGTATGAATCCAGGAATTTGTCCATTTCGTCTTTGTTCTGTAGTTTGGGGGCATATAGATTTTTATAGTAATCAAATATAATGTTTTGTATTTCTGTGGTGTCTGTTGTGATCTCTCCTTTTTCATTTATTATTGAGTTAATTACAGTCTTTTCTCTTTGAGTCCTTGTCAATCTAGCAAGAGGGCTATCAATTTTGTTTATCTTTTAAAAAAATCAGCTTCTGGTTTTGTTGATCTTTAGGATAGTTCTCTTGTTCTCCATTTTATTCAGTTCTGCTTTGATCTTCGTTATTTCTTTTCTTCTCCTAGGATTGGAAGTTGTTTGCTCTTCTTTTTCCAGTTCCTTGAGCTTATTCATTAGGTTGTCAGTATCCAAGCTTTGTGTTTTTTTGGAAGTGAGCATTAATTGCTATTAGTTTTCCTCTCAAGTAAGCTTTTGCTGTATCCCACAGGTTTTGGTAACAAGTATCACCATTATTATTTTGTTCAAAGAAATTCTTGATTTCCATCTGAATTTCTTCCTTGACCCAATAATTTTTCAATAATAGATTGTTTAGTTTCCATGATTTTGGAGGCGTTGAGTATTTCTGTTGGAATTGAACTGTAATTTTATACCATTATGGTTAGAAAAGATACAAGGTATAACTTCTATTTTCTTGAACTTTTTCAGATCTGATTTGCAGCCTAGGATGTGATCAATTTTGGAGAAGGATCCATGGGCTGCTGAGAAGAATGTAAATTCAACTTTATTTGGGTGGAATGTTCTATAGAGATCTGTCAGACCTTTTTGATCAAGGGCTTTGTTCAGGTCCATTATTTCTTTGTTTATTTTCTGTGTGGAGGATCTATCCAGATCATTCAGTGGAGTGTTGAAGTCCCCTGCAACTATGGCAGTGTTGTGTAACATGGTGTTTAGATTAGACAAGGTTTGTTTTATGTAATTGGGTGCTCTGCATTGGGTGCATAGATATTAAGAATTGTTAAATCTTCTTGTTGGATCTTCTCTTTCACCATTGTAAAATGGCCTTCTTTATCCTTTTTTACTTTTGTTATTTTAAAGCTTATGTTATCTGCAACATAGCTGTTACCTCAGCTTTCTCTTGACTTCTGTTTGGCTGGATAATAGCTTTCCATCCCTTGATCTTCAGCCGGAAGGCATCTTTGCAGGTTGGATGTGTTTCCTGTATACAGCAGATGCTAGGCTTGTGGAGCTTTAACCACTCTTCCAGTCTATTCCTCTTCAGGGGACAGTTTAAACCATTTACGTTTATTGAAAGAATTGAAATTGGAGGAGGATTACCATTCATATTGTTGAGTGAAGACTTGTTGCTTTGTGTTACTCCTTGTGCCATCATGTAGATCAGGATCTAAACTTTAA